CTAATTAACAAAAGTTGCCTAAAAGCATCATGCTGATAGGTTGAAGATGATTTAAAATTTTAGTGGATCATTTTTATTGTTTAATAAAATCAATTTTCATTACAGAAAAAAACAAGGAAAATAAATGTGCAAGAAATCTTATAATTCCACTTACTAATAACTGATTAGGACATATACATATTTTAAGAAAAAATTAAAAAGGAATATACCATTATAATTAACTTGAAAACTGTTTTTGACTTAACAGCATCTTTCTGTTTAAAAAAAAAAATCCTACAACTTTCCTTATACTGTTTTTCTAATAGCCTATTACATGTATTCTGTATTCAAATAGCCAAAACTTCCTCTTCCTTAGCCAATCACTCTCTCAAACAGCTGCTTGGCACTGTTACTACTACAGATCCTCCAGAGCACAAAAAATGGCTGAAAAATGACACAGAAACAAAAAGCAAAAGAGAAACATGGCTAGGTGGGGTGGTAGAAGCGTATAATCACAGCACACAGGAAGCTTAGGCTACACAAGCTCATTCAAGGCCAGCCTGGACTGCAGAGCAAAGTCCTGCCTAAAAAGCAAAACAAAAACCAACTAAACCAAAGAGAGAGCATCAATCTATTTAAAAGTGAAATTTTCTAAATGGGTAAAAATTCTTGACCATCAGATAATTAAATACTGCTAACTGATGCAATGAGTCCCAATATGTAAAACTCCAGTAGTGCGCTCTTCCTGCATGACCCATCATGTTCCTTGGTATTTACCCATGTGACATCCATATAAGATCCTATACTTGAGAATTCACAGCAGCTTTATTCATAATTGAGAAAACTTGAAAGCAATCGTGATATTCTTTAGTAAGGGAATGGGTAAACCAACCATGTGAATATACAGAGAGTAGAACATGATTATGTACTAAAACATGAGCTACCAAGCTATGAAAAGATGAGGGGAACCTTAAACATATGTTACTAAGTGAGAAGAAGCAGTCTGAAAGTGCTACACACTGTATCATTTACCTACCTAACTTTCTGGAAAAGGAAAACCCAGAGCAATGGTAAGAGGAATGGTGTTTGCCAAGGCTGGATGAGGCAGAGCTAAATAGATGAAGCACAGAAGAATTTTAGAGCTATTCTATAAAGATTTGTAGCCACATGCCATTATACATATTTAGAAACCATACAATATACAATACCAAGAGTGAACCTTAACATAACTGTTAATTTTGAAAGAAACTGTTGTGTCAATACAGGCTCATTAATGAAAACAAATGTACATTCTGGTTTAAGATTCCGCTGAAGGGTCACACATGTCTGTGTAGGGGTGGGCAGGATGCAGGAGATCTCTGCACTTTCTGCTCAATATTACTAAGAACCTGAAATTACTACATGCTCTCTAAAACAGACTTAAACATTTTCCCTGGTGATTGAGCTGTAGCTCAGTAGGCTTAATCCCCAGCACCAAAGATCAAAACAAACAAAAACCAACCCAGTGACCTGGATTGGAAAATATGCTTTTTCGATCACTCTTGAGTAAACATCACTGCAATCTACTAGATTTCAATAAAGACACACAGGACTACTCAAAGTCAACCTCAATTGCTGGTAATAGTCAAAACCATTTCTTTTTTTTTGTTCCTCGAATGCCTTCAGGGCACTTTTGGCCAGCGGGAGAGTTATGAGGTTCGAACTCCAGGAACCTGAGGCTGACAGCTTTGTGGAAGCAGCCACTTAAAGGACTGAGCTAGGGCCAGGCCCCCCAAAACCATTTCTTGATTTTAGTTTCTTTTTTTCTTCTCTGATTCTCTTTAAAAGACATTAGCAAATAGTAGAATAGTTCAAAACAGCAGAAAAATGATCTATAAGTGCACTGTATCTCTCAGAACTCACCACGTTCTACTGTTCTTCAAGAGCCCCTGAAGGAAACTGAGTAGAATCACATGAACAAGTTTCTGTAACAGTTTTCCTGAAGCCTCATCTTAAAAGCTCAGGTATCCACAAAGAAGCTGAGCATAGCTATATCTATCGAGTAGACATCTCAAAAGAAGGTAACAATGGGGCCAGCCAGATACCTCAGTGGATTAAAGTGCCTGCTTAGGGAGATTCAGGGACCGAGGTTCAATCCCAGGTGCGCTGTGCTATGCCAGCCCTGCCCATGGGGTGCGCTAAGAGGGGCAACTGAGACTGGGTGTGGTGGTGCATGCCTGTAATCCCAATGTTTGGGAGGCAGAGGCTGAAAACAGGAGGATTACTCCAAGTCTGATCTGTGTAGTGAAACTCTGTAGAGTGAAACCCTGTACTAAATACACACACACACCAAAGGAAAAAAAAAATTTAAAAAGTAACAGTGTCACACTGAAAACTCCAGAGTGGCACAGATATGTAGTCTTAGTTCTTCTGACTTGGTGATTTATATCTATACGGAAGAATATGAAAATGCTGCATCCATTCTTTGGGTTTCCCAAGAGACACATCTGTGTAATTATTGTCCTGATTAGGAAAGAGAAACGCAGAAATTTGTCTTTGCTCTTTTCCAAACACTAGCCTCATCTCCCAGTGTAATCATTACATTAGCTTGATTTCCATTATAGATTTAGTTTACTTATTTAAAAATTTTATGTAAGCGAATCACATAGTATGTAACTCTTCTGTGTATAGCATCCTTTGTATAATATTTTATTTGTGAGATTTATATATATTATTGTAGTAGTTCATACATTTTCATGCCTGGACAGTAGTATTCTATGCAGGAATATGCCACAGTGTATCCATTCCACCCACTGTTGATAGACATCTGCAATGCTTCTGGTGTATGTAGGCTACAGGTTTTCTGAGAACACTGCTATATAAACCTTTTGGTATACATACCTATGCATTTCTTTAAAATGAGTAGGAATAAAATGGCCAGGTCAAAGCAATAAAATTATGTATACGAAGAACTATTCTGTCCTGTTCAAAAGACAGACTTAATACTACAGACTCTATCTGGAACCATACAACTCTGATCAAAGACACCCCCTGCGGTTGCCTAGTGCTTGAAAGCTAGACCAGGTATCACCTGAAGGCTTGTTTCCGGGAAGCTGAGCCCATGCTTTATAGAAATATGTAAGCTCCTTGAATAATCCCAGTTCTCTTTCTCCTGCTTTGTTTAATTTTCTTTGGAAATAAATAACAAATCAATGGCATATGTAGCTGAGGCAAAACCAAAATAATGCTCCATTATGATCTGCAGATTTTGTAAAAACTGGGTTCTTGGAAAATCCAGCCATTTCTCTAAATTTTATTACTTCTTCATATTATTTCTCAGAGGGAATCTGCCACATTTTAATTTCTTTTGGTAAAATTTAATTCTATTTATCTATCCATCCATCCATCCATCCATCCATCCATCTAGATTACAAATTTGTACAGGCAGACTTTTTTTGTGTGCCACTGAGGATTGAAGCAGGGCCTCACAATGCTAGGTAAGCACTATCCCGTTGCATTACAGCCCCAGCCCCACATGCATTTTTGAGCAAACAGATGCATGCAGCCAGCATCCAGACTGAGAAACAGTGTCACCAGACATTTCAAAGCCACTGGGCAGAAATGGCTTTTTTCCTATTATAAAAGATTTCAGGGGGCCGGGGAGATGGCTCAGTGGAATAAGTGCTTCCCTGGCAAGCGCAAGGCACTGAGTTCAATCCCCAGCTCCACCAAAAAAAAAAAAAAAAAGATTTCAGGCCAAGTTCCAGGAGACCCCAGACCCAGTCCTAGCCCAGGTCTGGTGAGTGTGTGGAGAGTTTCCTGCTACCCTGCGCTGGCGGGACCAGTCCCAGCCCAGGCGCAGAGTGGGCCGGACCCTCTCCCAGCGCCTCGGGACGCCCCCCACCACTCCGCAGTGCCTCCCCCACCCCGCCCGCCAAGTAGGATTTTCTGCCGAGTTCCAGGAGCCCCCAGACCCAGTCCTAGCCCAGGTCTGGTGAGTGTGTGGAGAGTTTCCTGCTACCCTGCGCCGGCGGGACCAGTCCCAGCCCAGGCGCAGCGTGGGCTGGACCCTCTCCCAGCCCCTCGGG